CGGAAACATTAATAATCTTTTCATATTATTATTTTCCAGAAGCACTAAAAAATTCACTGTTTTCAGAGCAAAATATCGTTGGATAAAATTTGCACAGAAAATTGTGTCAAAATCATTCAAATTCATCAAAAAATATGCATTTAAAATTTCTCCTGGAAAATAATAAGGAAAATTTTCTTCTTCTTCTTTCATTTTCAGCCCTTGCTTAAAAACGCTTATTTGAAAACCCATTTCGGCCCGGTTGTCCTCGCGGCAAGACAGGCCGCACCAGAGCCGCATAACTTGGGCTGGGCGACAAAAGCGCCAGCGCTCGCTCACGCCCCACTTTGGGCGGGCGGCAGCCCAAGGATCCGTGGCCGTTGGTTCTGATCGGACGGTCGCGCGCCGTCTTCGGCCGGATCAAAACCAACGCCGCGTCGGTGCCGTGGAAACCCTAGGTCATTCGGCTCTTGCTCTCTCTCTCTCTTCTTCTTTGCCGCTCTCTCTCATCTCTCTTCAGTCGCAGTGGCGAGCCACAACCGAGAGCGAAGGAGCGGCGAGCGGCCGGGCCTTGCGCTGCGTCGCTGCCCCCTACGGCCCGCTGCGCGTGCTCTCCTAGCAGGTGAGCACGCGCCGCCCGTCAGCGCCACGCCCATGGCGCTTCCTTGGCGAGCAGCGAACCCGCCCTTGGCTCGGCTTCTTCTCCACGCCGACGAAAGGTTCATCCGACGCACCCTAACCCTAACGCATTTTTCCCCTTTCTGATTTTGAGTTGTTCTTTTCGGGTTTATCCAAATGGGAAAAAACTAGGGTTAGGGTTAGGGTTCATTCTTGCCGATTCATTTTCTTTGCTTTCGTTTCTTTCTTTTTGTTCATCCGAATGGAAAACTGGGATTAGGGTTAGGGTTTCGACCTTTCTTTCTTTCTTCTTCCCCTTTTCTCTCTTTCGGATTTACGTCTAGGGTTCTCGGAATCCGACCCTCCCCTTTTTCCCTTGTTTCGATTTGATTTAGGAAATTAGGGTTAGGTCTTAGGGTTCGTTTTTCTATTTTCTTTCCTGATCCGCATCAGATCGGTCGGTTTCACTTCCCCGATCTGATTTCTTGTCGAACCGTGGCTCCGGTACCATTGTTGGAGTTCATTTTTAGGCATGTTCATCGGATCGGGATGTATTGGTAGTAGGAATAGGTGTTCGGGATTCACAGAGAGAGAGAGAAAGGGGGTGATAGGTTGCAAACCATCAAAAGCCGTAGTGATCGAAGCTCCGGCCGGGGTTTCGTTGACAGACGCCATCTACGCGCCGGCAGCGACGTTCGGTGGAGAGAGTCGGGTGCATGGTGTCTCGGCGGTGGCGGCGGCGCGTCGGTCGGCGTTGGTGGCGTTGCGGCGTCGGTGGTGCTTCCGTCGTTTGGCGGCGCCTTCTCAAGATCGGGTCTAAGGTTAGGATGTCGGTGGGTTGACTGGCGGCGCGGTCAACCTCGTACTGTGAGCCCCGGCCCCCACCTTTCCTTTATAACACTGTGCGACGGGGGCCCACCAACCATGTAGGGTTGGGCGCCCCCGATCAGGGCGCGATAACAAGGCACAAAGGCCGTTGGGCCTAATGGCGTGGGAGATCAAACCTAACAGAGATCGGTGGTGGTGGTCTTCATAGATAGCTTGCTCGGTCTTGGGATGATCACTGCAGCGGCAAAATGGAAATCAAAGACGAGTGGCTTTCCTATTTATAGGAGAGGAGAGAGGGAAATGAAGCGAAGTGGTGTCCATCTTCTTGTGCGTCAGAGAGGGAGAAGGAAATGTGGCTGGCTGTTATGTGCATGCATGCAATTGAAGATTGAGTAACGCAATAGAGATAAGAGAGGTGGGTCTAGGAAATAAACACAAGAATGAATGTGTGCATATATTTTACGCATGAGGGGAGGCGTCCATGGCGAGAATGGGAGGAGGAAGAGAAGAGATACGGCTGTCCTTTAGTCATGCATTTGAGAGGATGTGGAACCTGATTGAGTAAAGGGGGGAATTAAGGGAGATGTGAGGCAAGGTGATTAAGGGAAAAAACTAATTGCTGCTGTTATTTTGGATGAGAGAGAGAGGAGGCGCCATGGGAGAAGAGAGGAAGAGTGGAGAGGAGACATCCACCTGGTTGTGCGTTAGGGAGAGGAGAGGAAACATTGCTGCTGCATGCAATTGAAGTGAAGAAGAGAAATTGGTGGAGTAAAAGGGATGCTGTCAAGAGAGGATTAAAGAGAAATTGAAGAGAGGCATGCAAGGCCAGGGAGTTAAGAGAGTAGGCATTAAATGAGGCTATTTTTTCATGAGAGGAAGAGGAGAATGCGGCATAGGGAGGGAATATGCTGGCTGCTACTCATCTTTAACTTGCACAATTCAATAGCGAAATTGGAAGGGAGTTAAGGTGCTGATTCCATGCATGAGCAGAGAGGAGGTGGCGCATGTTTTCACAGGAGAAAGAAAGAGGGTGTTGGCCAAGGAGTGGGAGAAGGAGAGAATGGTGTTGGGCTGTGTTGTGCTTGAGCCAAAACAAGAGGAAGAGAGAGGACTAAGTCCATTAGCGAAAAAGAGCAAGTTGGGCTGCTATTCATGATAGAAAGAGAGAGTGGGTCAACATAACCCAAATTGAGATGAATTTGGGTTAGAAAACAAAACAACAAAGAAAAAGAAAGAACAAAGATCGAACTTTATACCAAATTGAGATTGATTAAGAGTATAATAAAATAATGGAAGAGGAAGAAAAGATTAGACATGAGGTGACTAGGAGTAGATACGATGATGTTTGGGTTGGAATTTTGGAAGACAAGTTTGAGAGCAAACCCTAAGCGCATTTGGAAACATTGAAATTCATTTTTCAACCATAAAACATTATGCAATGGCATGAAATGCAACATACAGTTAAATTGTATTCCCAAAATTTTTAGAAACTCACATTTTTCCACTATCTAAAATGTCAACAACTTAACTGAAGTTGGAAATTTTCTAGAAAATAGTAAAAATCTTTTGTTTTGTTTTTAGAGTTTTCTAGTCACATCCCAAAACATGAATTTTGGGGTGTGACACTGCCTCCACAGAAGTTCTATTTTCTCACAAGAAACTATTAGATATACTTTTATTTGTCATTCTCCTCTAATAACCTCCCTTCTGGTACTGTAGCAACAATAATTACACACACATGTTAGCGTTTAATTCATAGTTAGTAAGTTGCATATACATAGTATAGATTTGTAGACAGTCTCTTATTTCTTCTTTTACATAGGGTAATTTAAGGTAATATATATGTATGTGTATAAAAATTAAAATGTCTAAAAAACATCTTAAAAGCGCCTAGGCTCGCTTAGGCTCTAGGCAGTAGATCTAGCGCCTTTCTGAACCTTGAATCTACTAGTTCCATGCATGGCTATTCTATAAAAAGCCGTGTTTACAAGATTCAACTTTTGGTATAAGTAGCAAGGTTTATTTTTCCCTAACACAGGTGATGATTAGTCTATGAATTGATAGTCCATAGTGTTCATTGCTCCTTTTTCTTCTCATTAGATTGTGTATTTCTTTCTAGGCAGAGACCAAGAATGTTTTCAAGACTCGTATAATCTTGATATTGCTCTTAGAAATCAATAAATTTTCCCTTTACCAAAAAAATATATCATCCGAACCGTACAGTGAAATTATGCAGGACAATATAACCGCCAGGAATGCCATATTGGGCATGCAAGTCAACAATTGTAGCTTTTACATGATCCGCGGAACCAACTGTCAACTGAATCATTGTTTGATGCATATTTTCTCCCTTGGTCATCATAACGTTGGGTTCTAAGCTGACTCTTTATTCTTGCAACTCTTCTATTGCAAGTACTAGAACACTATATAGCATGACAACGTAATCCTACATTGTGCAGGTGACAAGTCGGCTAAATCTAACAATACAACAGCAAACCTCGGTAACTGCAAAACAGGGCAGGTATCCAAAAACTTTTATTCACTCAGCCCCAACAAAATCTTTGGGCAAATATTCATCAAAGACGGGTTTTCACCATTAGCCTGAAAACAAAACAAAGAACTGTCACATCCAACTTTAGTCGCCATGGTTTAGTTCTCAGATAACCAATACAGAATTTAAGACACAAGAAATATTTTGTCAGAAGCTACCACTAATCTTGCTCATGCTATTTTCATGGGGGCAAACTAGATATGGATAAAGAAATTTCTGAAGTGATCACAGTTTGTAATGAAGTGCCATGTCACAACGCATATAATATAGCACATTCGATTTAAAGGCAAAGAAAAAGACTAAGTAGGAGAGTCTTCAATTACACCTATTTAACACGTTTCAGTGTATGCATGGTGTACTTGTGACATGAAATGTGAGCTTTACTTCAAGGAGAACAATGAGCTAACAGAATGTAATTAAATAGACCCTGTTCCTAGTAAAATCACATATTGACGTCTTCACAAATCTTTTGCAATTTGGCCCTTTTTTGTAAAAAATCACGTTTACCCCCTGAGCGACGTAAAACCGACTTTGGACCTTTTTCTCAGCGCCATGACCTACGGCGCCAAGGTAACATGTCTCAGCGCCATAGGTCATGGCGCCGAGGTCAGGAGGCGGGGCGCTGATGTGGCTAGAGCTCGGCGCCATGATCTATGGCGCCGAGCTCTGGTTTTCTCTTAGCTCTAAGTATGATTTTTTACTATGACTCAAATATGTATGTTAGGATTTGGTCATAAAGGACATGTTGAAATTATATATCCTGGCCGTAAAATTTAAGGATGTCCAACTCATGATAATATGTGGTTAAGGTTAAAACCAGACCTCAGGCCGTGAACCATGGCGCCGAAGGCTGGCCACGTCGCTAGCCACGCAATCCTGGCCTCGACCTCGGCGCCGAGGCGTGTTACCTCGACACCGTAGGTCATGGCGCCGAGAAAAGGGTCCAAAGAAAGATTTAAATGAAATGGTAACAGATAAACGAACCTCCTAGGTGTATTTTGCTGCTATCTCGCGCATCAGGCATTCAGGAGCTGCAGGAAAAAAAGATAATCAGAAATACTAACTTACAGTATGAATGACCAAGGATATGTACGGAAAGATTTGGCATGTAAAGGATTAACAATATCTTGGAAGAACATGACACCTTCTATACCACCGGTGAAACGCTCAAATTGACCCATGGCTTGTCTAATAAACATTTCCACACCACTAACAACTTTAACTCCACATTCTTACGCTTCTCGAAGAAGCCTTGTAACTTTTGGGGCATATACAGCATCAAATACCACATCATAGAAACCCAGAGCTTTCTGCAAATACAGGAAAAGTGATCAAACACACTTTGGCATCAAGTGTACCAATGTTTATGTCAATTTTGGAGTAAGAGAAGAATAAACAAGGTCCTAACTTATGTGAAAACAATATAATCATAGGCTCCATGTTACACAAACTCAGACCTTCAGATAAAACAATCTGTTGTTCAGATCTGTTACAAGGTTACTGCACCTGCTTCATTAGATGCACCTGCACCTCATGGGTTCTCTCTGAAAAATTCGTCCAGCTAAATTTAAATGATCTTGAGTTCTTGATAAGATTAGTAAGGAGCATTTTATGTTTGCAGTTACCATTCACAACTTATGCATTCAGAGCATATCAGGTTTCTTTACTTGGCCTAACCAGCAATGGAGGAAAGCAAATTTGACTTGCAAAACTGTTATTCATGCAATTAGAGTTACAACTCCAAAAAGAAATTGTGACTCTATAATGGAAGGCTATTACTATTTATTCTTGTAAGACACACAAACAATAAAAACGTCAGATCTCAAAGATCAATCATTTTGAGATTAAAAAAAAGTCTCCAATTATGTATGTGTGAGAGAAAGGAAAATGTGTGTGGACACCTTCGGAATAGGAGTACCATCAATATTTGGGTACATCCCCAATGATGTTGCATTAGCAAGGATCATCCCTTCTTCAGGTCTGAAAGTTTCCAGGTCTTCTAATCTCAGGGCCTGACCACCAATTGCGTTGGCAAGACTTACAGCCTTCTCTGGCAATATGAAATATTTTTTTGCATTAATTAAGGACCTAAGATATAACCATTATTAATATAACACACATGCAAATGCAGCATGAATCAAAAACAGAAGAAAAAAAACCTACTGTAGTATAGAAGCAGTGTAGGTTGCAACTGCAGAAAGCATTTTGGTGAAAGAAAAAAACTTCACATAGAAAAAAAATGTCATAACACTAGGCCACCAAACGCGGGCAAATTGGTTATTTATGAGCACACGGTTGGAGTCACAAGCATAGTCGTAGTATCATGAACCATATGTGCAACAGAAATGCAAACCAACATGGGATTCCAATAGTAATATGCATTAATGCATAATCAGAAAGGTGAACCTGAAGTCAGTTCACAAATATCAACTTGAATGCCTGCTTGGCAGCAGGGTTCCAGGTTCTTTGTGAAACATTTCAGATTTGATTTCTCATATAAATAGTTTCTCGGGTGAAACAGAATCACTCTATTAGGATCTGATTCTTCACAGAGAAGATAGCAGTGTAACTAATGTAACCCTGTGTGTGCATATAATCCTAAGTGAAAACAGAGATCTATTGCATCTGTATTGATTTGAAAGGAAGATTAGAGATCCTACCGGTGTTGCTACGAAGGTTGTAGGGATGGAAGAGAGGTGGGCGAGGTTTAGGCAGGCGGTGGCGGCGAGTGGGCGCCGTGGTGATCACGGCGCCGAGGGAGAGAGAGGGAGTCGAAGGCTTCAGGGAAGCCGAGCAGCCAAGATTGTTGCTTTGCATAATTCCTTCAATCAATGTTTACAGGATATTTATCCTCCCTAAACAACCATCTATGAGATCCTATTTTTAAGGAATAAATAATCTATTTGAGGAAATAACAAATGATGAGATAACCGGGCTATTAGCCAGCCCTCTAATACTAGACGCCACCTCAGCCACTAGTATGTCGGCGCCTGGTGTACTGCACACCAGTCATAACATCTCGCCCCGCCTGGACAAACAGCTCGTCCTCGAGCAGGAAATCCGGGTAGAGGTCTTGGCACTCCCAAAGCGGCTCCCACGTGGCTTCTTCAGCAGCCATGCCGTGCCACTGGACGAGGACGTGCCAGACATCACGGTGAAGCTGGGCGCGCAGGACGCGTGCTCGAGCAGGCAGGACATGACCATCTTGTGTAAGAGGCACGGGACCTGGAACAGCCGGAGGATCGCCGCAGTGAGGCTTCAGCAACCCCACGTGGAAGACGTCGTGTAGACGGCCGCCCTCAGGAAGCTAGAGCCGATAGGCCACCTCGCCGACGCGTTCAAGGACCTGGAACGGACCGGAGTAGAGAGGGCTGAGCTTGCCCTTGGCGCGAGGATCCAGCGTGCATGTCGGACGGTGGAGAAGACGCAGCCAGACCCAGTCGCCCACGGCAAACTCCAAGTCGCGATGGTTGGCGTCGTAGTAGCACTTGGAGACCTGTTGTGCCTGGAGGAGGCGTTCCCAGACCTCCGTCAAGAACTCATCGCTTCATGGAGGAGATGATCGTCGGCAGCATCTGTCATGCGGCGCGTTCACGTGTGTAGGGCAACAGGGGCGGTACCTGGAATGGCGTCGTACGCGAAGGAGTGTGGAACGTACTGTAGCAGTATTCCGCCCACGGCAGCCAATCCACCCACGCACACGCGTCGATCGATCGACGCGACGCAGTAGCGGTACATGGCGAGTACCTTGTTCACCACCTCTTGCCCGGCCGTCTCGTCTCTGAGATGGAAGGCCGTGCTCATGCGAAGAGTGACGCCCTCCATCTTGAACAGATCACGCCACACATGACCGGTGAAGACCGGGTCACAGTTGTTGACGATGGAGGTTGGGAACCCGTGGAGGCGAACGATGCCCTCAAAGAAGGCCCGGGCGACGGTCGTGGCGGTGTACGGATGACCGAGGGCGATGAAGTGCGAATACTTGGAGAAACAGTCAACGACGGTGAGGATGACCGACTACCCATGGACCTTGGGCAGGCCCTCGATGAAATCCATCGAGAGAGGGCACTAGCCGCACTGTCCTCCGTGTCCCGGTGAGAGAGAGCGTCAGCCATCGTGTTCAAGCGGCCAGGGCAGTACTCCCCAACGAAATCGAAGCCAAATAGCTTGCTGATCCAATGATGTTGAGGCACGGTGGAAAGGCACTGGTCCAGCAAAAACTTGATGCTATAGTGATCCATCCGAACGAGGAAGTGGCGCCCCCACAGGTACGACCGCCAGTGGCGCACGGCCTGCAAGAGGCCGATCAGCTCGCGTTCATAGGCCGCGAGTTTCAGGTGGCGCGCGGCGAACGGCCGACTAAAGAAGGCGAGGGGCTCGGTGTCCTAGTGGAGGACGGCGCCGAACCCAGCGCCGGAGGCGTCGCAGTCGGCCCTTGTCGAAATCGGGCATCTAAAGCATCGGCCCTGTCGACAGGGCGCGTTTGAGGGCCTGAAACACCGCGTCCGCCTTGTCGGTCCATGCGAAAGTGTCATGCGCAGCAGCCGCATCAAGGGGGCTGCGATGGTGCCGAAGTTGCGAATGAATTTCCGGTAGTAGCCGGCGAGGCCCAAGAAGCCACGCAATCCATGGGTGGAGCACGGGGCCGGCCTCAACGCGACCGTGGCCACCTTGTCGCTGTCCATGGCAACACCGTCCATGGAGATCACATGCCTGAGGTAGGCGACCGAAGACACCACGTACGAGCACTTCGAGTGATTGAGGTGGAGGTGGTGTGCTCGTAGCGCGTTGAGGACGATGTTGACGTGCTGCAAGTGCTCAAACCACGACGAACTGTAGATGAGTATGTCGTTGAAGAACACAAGGACGAACCGCGCAGGAAGGGACAGAGCACGTCGTTCATTAAGGCCTGGAATGTTGCCAACGTGTTGGAGAGGCCGAACGACATCACCTGGAACTCAAAGTGGCCGTGGTGCGTGCGGAACGCCGTCTTGGTGATGTCGTCGGGGTGTATGCGCACCTGGTGGTAGCCCAAATGGAGGTCGAGCTTGGTAAAGAAGCGCGCCCCATGGAGATCGTCCAATAGCTCATCGACCACCGGGATCAGGAACTTATATTTCAAAGTTTTGGCGTTGAGAGCACGGTAGTCAACGCAGAAATGCTAGGACGCATCCACCTTCCGCACCAAGAGCACTGGCATGGAAAATGGGGACGTGCTAGGCCGAATGATGCCTTGGCAAGCATGGCGGAGCACTAGCGAGCTCGTCCTTCTGAAGCTACGAGTAACGATAGGGGCGAACAGAAACCGGCGTGGTACCCGACAGGAGATGAATGCAGTGGTCGTAGGGCCAGGCCGGCGGCAGACCACGGGGCTCCTCGAACACCGGGGCGTACTGGAGCAGCAAGCGGTCCAGCAGGGGCTGCGTGGGCACAGCCATGACCGCGCACACGGCCGGCTCCTTGATGTCGTCACGGGGGGAGCCGATGCCCTTCCATAGGATGCGCAGGGAACCGCAGGTGAAGGCCATGCACAGGTCCTCGAAATCCCAGAGGACCAGGCCCAGCGTGCGCAAGAAGTCGACGTCGAGGATGACGTCGAAGCCGCTGAGGTTGATGCTGAAGCAACTAATAGCGAAGTCTTCGGTGCCGATGGCCAGGGCAACGTTGCGGGTGCACCCTTGCAGGGAACGCGGTCCCCGTTGGCCACCTAGATGCGCATGTGGGATGGGGCAACGTGGACAGTCATAGATGGTGCATGACCTCGGAGTTGATGAAGTTGAGTGGAGCCGGAGTCGAGGAGTGCAAGGAGGCGGTGGGCGAGGATCGTGTCCTCTGTCCAAATGCCCACAATGGCGTGGAGGGAGACGACCGGCGCAACTGCTGCGTCGTCAGCCGCAGCGGGTTCGGCGGCCTCTTCTTGGAACGCCATGACGACAGCCACTTCCGCAGGACCTCGTCCTCAAGGAAGTCGGCCGACTCCAAGTAGAAGAGCCGCTGGCACTGGTGGCCACAGACATAGGGCTCGTCACAATTGTAGCAGAGCCCTTGGTGACAAAGGCTCCAGTGCTTTCGGCCGGTGAGGCTGACGAAGGGGCGTGGCTGGAGTGGGTGGTGGGCGCCGTCTGTGGTGCCGGTAGAGGTGAGCGTAGCACCTCGAGTGGCCGAGGAGCCGGTGGTGGAACAGGGGTGGCGCCGGGAGGCTGGCAGCTGCGGTGGTCAAGCCACACGCGAAGCTGGACCGGCGTCATGGCCGGGCGTGGGCGCTCGAATGCCCACGCGAGATGCATATCCGTCTAAGCGTCTTGGAGCTCATGTGACTCAACGTCCACCTTGATGTGTTTAGGAAGGCCACCCACAAATAGCTCCGCCATTACGGAGGGGAGGCAGATTGCGAACATGGCACAACACGGCGTTGAAGCGGTCAACGTACTCTGAACCCTGAATGGTAGATAGGAAGGGAGTCGAGGCCGAGTTTGGACGAGCAAGTGCCATGAACCGCCGACCGAAGCACAGATTGCAGAGCTCCTTGAAGCGATCCCACTGGCATGCCTCATCTTGCTCTAGGGCATAGTACAAAAGTGCGGCGGCGCCGACCGGATGTTGGGAAGCGAGCAGGACACGATCCGAGGCGAGGGTGCATTGGCGCGGAAAACTGCTCCACGGTGCTTGAGCGATTCAGGGGATCCTCGTGAGGTGGAAAATTCAAGCTTGTAGGAGTGGGGAGGAGCAGTGGCCGGGCGGGGCCTCGGGTGCTCCAGTGCACGACGACGCTGGGGTATGGAGCGCCGAAGCGGATAGGTGGGGTTGACGCCAGACATGGCCAGCCATCGGCACCCACCCTATTGAGGGAGCCGACGCCTGCTAGCATCGAAAGGGGAAGGGGAAACAAGAGTTTGGCCACGATGGATGACTGAGGGAAACTTCCTTGCCCTTTCTTTTGTTTACGGCTATCGACCGTTGGGAGGTGAAGCCTGTTTGGGTTTGTGACCATCAAGAGAGCCTTGTTTAGTTTGTCACTTCGAGTTTTTTTTTTGAAGCAGAGTATTGCAC